TCGACAAATTAGGAGGCAGGGAAGACAATTAAAAAAAATTTAACGATTGTCTACAGTCCAGGATAGAGACGACTGATGTTACCTTTTAGCAAAAATTCTGTGAGACGATCACCATTTTAAAGTTTCATTAGTTAAAAGTTCGACCAATTCCTCATAAATCTGAACCTCTGCTGTTTCAATATTTACAAAAGGGTTCAAAACCCATTGAGGGACTTCTAGGGAACAAAACGTCTTTAAAAGGGTCAGAAAAGTCCATGTGCAAAGAGTCAAGGTGTTGACAATATTCTTATGCGTCATCAGAGAGAATTTCGCCTGCTCGGCTCGGCTGAACTCTTTCCAACCAAAATTCTGCTTCCACAAAATGAGTTTTTTTTAGNGAAAAGTCCATGTGCAAAGAGTCAAGGTGTTGACAATATTCTTATGCGTCATCAGAGAGAATTTCGCCTGCTCGGCTCGGCTGGGCTGAACTCTTTCCAACCAAAATTCTGCTTCCACAAAATGAGTTTTTTTAGAAAGGCAGAAATAACTGATTTTGTAGGGATCAAATTGAGTTCGTCACCCTGAAATTTTAAATTAACCGTCATTAAATTTTAGAGATAAATCAGCCAAAGTCTTTCATAAATTCTATCAATCAGTCTCTCAGAGCTACATTTCTGTTTTCGAGGAACTCAAGCACAGAGTCGAAAAGATTCCAATACCTATTGAGACAGAAGCTTTTGGAAAGCCAGTGAATCTCGGTGTATAGTAGCAAGCGTCTGAATAATCAATCGTAGAAAGCATTACTGTGAATTTTGTTCACGGCAGATATGGCACATTGCAATGATTGATGTAAACGGTCACTGAGATATTTTCCTACTAAATGCTGTCTGTCAATCACGCAATGAACAGTTAAAATATCTGGTACCACCCTTTCCACAAGGGCGATAAACCCATGATGTCGACCCACCATAGCAGGAGCGTATCAGTGGCAATGGTTATAATATTCGCAAGAGGAATGTTTCTCTTTAAAATAATCTTCGACAATATTAAAAATAGATTTACCTTTGATATGTATATAATCAAGCTTCTTGCAAAAAGCATATCTTGAATAATGTTTCCTACCTTTACAAACCGGACCTATGCCTACAGTAAAGCCTACATTACCTGGCAAGGTTGATTCATCAACTTGAAGGGAAAATTCGTTGGATATCAAACATTTGCATAAAGAAATTTGAACGTCTTCGGCCATCTCATCATTTCATCACCGTACTGAATCGTTGCTTATGGGACGTTTTTTTATTACATTGGATGCGGCTGGCTGGTGTAAAACAGTTTCTAAAACTTCCTTGACAACCGGCAGTATCAACTCCACTTCGATGTAATGAGCTTTCCCATATTTAGCAATAAATTTTGATATATTATAAGAAGCTATCAAATCATCGTCGCATTTTTGTGATGAGGTTGCTAGTAACCCTGAGACCGAAGATGTGTTTGAGAAAAATGACAAATCTATATTTTGTTTGTCAGGATAAGTTTTTTGCAAATGCTGCTGCTAACGGTATGATTTCATTACCTCATTAGATAAAACTTTATTATAAAGTAAACGCATGGGTAATTGAGAGTTCAACAGTGATTGAACAAATCCCAACTTCAAGCACGTGGCACTGTATTGATGACACTTCTTTTTGTCAACCGACATTGTTAGTGTAAGCAAAATACAAACGATGAAAGAAAATCAACTATTTCTCAAAATTAATAAATAATTTATGATGAAGAACTAATTCGCGCACGTACCTAGCCAAATAAACTATGAGATCTAATCGAAACTGGGAAAAAAACAGCAAGGAAGCTTAAGAAACACGGGTTCAGTCAAACATTCATACTGAAAGCGCATGCACTTCAATTTCCACCAAATGGCTTGAATGTGTCAGAGGCAGAACTACTGACTCATCCGCTGAGCTGTGATGGTTCGGATCGAAGAATAGGTGTCTTCTAAGTTCGTTTTATAGCTGGTACAACGTTTTATAGCTGTATTGGATATTCCTTATTTATTATATTAATTTAATCTTTTTTTCTTTAATATTAATTTTAGATTAGTTTTATTTATTAAATAAATAAAACTAATTAAATAAATCTTATTATTAATATTAACTTTATTAAATAAATCTTAATTCTTTATTAAATAAACTTTATTAAATAAATCTTAATTCAATAATTTTATTTGTAAGTTTTAAAATTAAATTTGAATGACAAAACAAGCTCATCTCCCCCCTACCGCCCAAAACAAGTTCACCGCCCCTCAGCATACTCCCACCGCCCCCGTTGAGAACCAATGCCCTAAAGCAATCGAAGGGTGATTTAAGGTACTCCTTAATTTTTTTTGCCATAAAAGTTAAATCAATTAATGAAAAGCACACTACAGAGATGCCAACTACTTCGGACATGCCATAATAATTTAAAAAACGGTATACTACTTCAAACTAAAATTTGCAAATATTTGACTAATTTTGCTAACGTTTTAAATGGTGTAGTATGACTTAACTGTAACAAAGTGGCAAATTGTATAAGCCTTCGAATTATTTAGAAATAGTGGTGGATAAAGACCTAATAAATTTAATTTTTTAAACCAAGAATCACATATTAATAAACTACCATTCGAAAATATTTATTTGCTGTCTGGAGCAAGTTGGCATCTATGACACTAAAATATTTTGGACTGTCCTTGCTAGCTCAGAGATGATTGTGCTCAAGAAAAATTCTGGATTTTTCGCCAACAGCGATCCGGAAATCCAAGGTCCGGAAGTTTCAAGAAATCATGGATCACATTTATGTATAAAAATTCTAGTATATTTTATTTAAAAATATTAGAACTAGAATTTATGCTTGGCATCTCTTTCATTTGTAAATATTTTTTCTGGTAGAATAATAAATGCGATTAGAGATGAAAGTAAACTTATATATAATTATTCATTTAAATTATGATGTATATAATTTATTTAGAATTTCATGTTTTGAAAATATCAATGATTTAAATTTATCACGACATTAATTTTTTGAAATGCGTCATTAATGATTTTACTCAAGAAACTTTCAGGAATTTTGAGTTGGGCTCACAATCACTCCTGCTAGCTGATCAGAAATCTTAAACAATTTACTGTAGACACTGTTTGATAAGAATTGACTGTTTCTTGAATAAAAACCTTTGATAGAATAGTTTTCAGTGTTAAGAAAGTAACCGTCATTAATTGTCTATGTAAAACCCTCATCATTTGTCGACAACTGTGGCAGTAGCTATGGTTAAGGTTTAACTATTTCAAGTAGGGATGTTGGCTCAATATTTAAGGCAGGTTTTCACTAGGGTCAGTGAGAGAAAGGAAATCTCGTTTTTTCGGTCTATTGCTAATCTCCTATATTTGAAATGTGCTGTATCTTGTTTCTAAAGCAGCAGTTGCCCTTAGACTTAGTGGTGAGAGGAGTTCTTTATGTAGACTGACTCTACAAGAATTTTGGTTGGTAGTATTAAAGCAACAGAAATTACATTAGTAAAAAACAAGCTGTTATATTTTTTTAAATAAATTTTAACAGGCTTATTAAATTTTTTAATGTTATCGAGTAATTGTTAAGATAATATAAATTAAATTTATTATTAATAGATTTATTAAGTAAAATGTCAAAGTTTGCAAAGACTTTTTTTCCCCATCCATATGCCGTTCAATAAAAAATGGGTTGTTTTTATCATTTAAAGGAGTTCCAATTTGTAAATTTTGCTAAAGTTCTCAAGTATGCATTCTATTTAATTACGTAAAATAATTAAAAGACCAATTTTTTTAATATTTTAACTTTAGAGTTCCTTAGTATAACTATAATTTTACATTCAATTATTTTTTATTATTTGATAGTGCATCAGTTTCTCTCAAACCGCTATACTTATTTTTTTATTAGGGAGTCAATAATTACATTTTTCGAATAAAAAATTCTTTTACTGTTCCAGTCCTTGTGTTATATAGAATATTTTTAAGAAAGTTATTGATTAAATTCCCTTTCTTTATTAAAAGCTATTTAAGTTTCTAGGGTGAGTTCTGAAATGTCTTATAAAATAGTTGATGCCTGCAGCTTCTAATTGTAAATATGTAAATGTTTCCTTTTTCATCTCTAAATTTTTACATGCCCTCTTATGACAGACATATTAGCCTAAAAAATACATGTCTGAACATCTTTTCTGATTGCACATTGATGAAAACACATGAATGTACATATTATTAACACTTTTATCAAAACTTTTAGGAATAAATCAGAAGTATGAAGTATTAACAAAGATGTATTAAGTATTATTAACAAGAAACTATTGAGCATTGAGAGCATTATTAAAACTACTAAGCACTATCAGAAACATTTCAAAATGTTACTTTAAAGCTATATAAATACAAAAGTTTTAACTATTTACTTATGTGCTGCAATTAAGGTTAACTTTTTTTTAATAAAAATAAGCATACTTTCTTTCAAAATTTTTTTATTTGAATGATTAATCTTTAGGTCTTTCCAAATATAGTTTCTTTTTTCTCCCTCTATGATACCATTTTTTGTCCTATCCCACATCTTGGCAATTTTAGTCAGTTTTTTGTGGGGAGCTTAATCAGTATTTTACAGTAGTTTTATTGACTATTTACAAGTCCAGCTGGGTATGCAAAGGGAAAAAAATACAAGATAGATTTGAATTTTTACATGATCTGAAAATGTTGGGCAATACAATTTTTGAGACTTTTTTTAAAATCATTTTAAATACAATCTATTATATATACCATACAAGGAAAAAACAATCTGAAAATATTGCAAGTTAGATTTTTCTTGAACTTTTTTACCTATTGGATAAAATATTTTTAATAAAATTTTTACAATTCATTGCCAGTGTTGCAAAAAATTTGAAAAGATAGAGATTTAATGAATTATTACAGAAAAAGTAGTACATTTAAAGCAAACAATAATGAAAAGAAGAAACTGTATAGAGTATAATTTACAACATGAAGTATTAAAAATTTTTTTTAATTCATTCAATCATATGATTACATTAAAACAGAAATATCAAAATACAAATGTTTCAAGAATTGACAGGTATGTACAGAATACTAAAAGATTGAAGCGATCATTATTATTATCACTTTGGAGTTTTTAAATGCCAATGTTTTGTTTTAAAAGTTGGGGTTTCATTTTTATTAGTAAATAGTTGTTTTCTAATACTTGATTTTTTTTTCACTATTTTGATTGATTTATTTTTTCAGAAAGAAAATTAGATTTGTAAGTTATTGATCTTGTTAAAAAAAATTTCATATTATTTCAATTATACAGCTAAAAATTAAAAGATAAATCAGACTTTTCAACTAAGGCTATAAAAATATAAATCAACTTTTTTTTTAAAAAAAAAGAAAAATAATTGATTTGAATAAATTGAAAATTATGAATATAAATGAGATGAAATCCAACTTCAATTTTTTAAAAATTTTTACATCTTAAAAACTACATGTGGATGAAATACATTTGAATATTCATTGAAAATAGTTCAATTTTCTTCTCGTGTATATTCTATTGCAGGTAATTTTAAATATTCTCAAGAGTCATATAGGGTACTGTTAATTTTAACGTTAGAAAATATGGTGAAATTTTAAATAAAAAACTAGCCTCATAAGTCTCTCTGTTTCTTCATTAATTTTTCAATGCAACCTTGTCACTTTTGTCGACCTGTTTTTGGAATTCTGCATTTTTGCTTGATTGCTGACACGATGATGCATTTGTACTGAATGTTTAAAACACAGGCTGAACATTTAGTCCCATTGCAAAACCAACCTGAGTTCAATAAGTATTTTGATGCATACTTATGTGATTTCAAATCATTAGTTGGTTTGATAACTTTTAATGCACCTACATCAAGTACAACTAATTAAATTGCATTTTTGAAGCTTTATTAGGATTAATATTTGAGTAGATTTTGAAATCTCAGAGTTTGTAGAAAAGAATCAATGATCTTTATTGATGAATATCATTAATTATGAAAGAGCAAACATGTCACAAATTTACAGGTTTTACATGGGACTTAAAATTGTACTTTTCCACACAAACAGTTGCATATGCAAATTTTTTAAACAACTTTTTATAACAAAAACTATTTGAATTTTAAAAAAAATAGAAAAAGATGGCATAAAGCTCCAAGGGATTTGTTTGCAAAAAAGTGTACAAATCACTTCAAGATTTAAAATGACGTAAGATCGATTTATTATAAACACATTTTTAACATTCGCACATTTCCTAATGTAAAGGAAATTTAAAACTTATTGCCAAAAACTAAAGCCCAGACATTTGCTGAATGAGTAAAAATCATTTACCCAAGATATTGCAAAGATTTCAATAGGCTTACATTTTCTGAATGCAATAGTGAATGAAATAAGTCTTTTGAAATTTATGCAAATTTTATAAACACATAACAATTAATAGCATTATTTATTATCTGTCAAATAATTCTGCAATTTTTAAAGCAGCTGTGGTAAGATTTATGGGCATCAAATTAGTCAATATTGTAACAACTATACCCTTTGGTGGATTATCTGTTTCTAAAGCTGAATCCTTGTTTGTACTAGATGATTTTGGCAAAATCAGGAGAATACTGCTGGCTCCAATGGCTCCACCAGTATGATAAACACAAAACTTTACCTTCTCGCAAAATCCACATTCTTGCTTTTCTGGGAATACAACCCATCCTAATGCATATTTGGCATGATCCTTACAATTAATAACAGGCATCCACATAGTTTCCATAATTCTTGAAGTTAAAAATCCAGGACATAGTTTTTTATTTTCTTCACTGTGCTCATCTACGTTTGACAAGTAATTTTTATCAAGACTTTTTTTATAAGAATCATAGTTTTGAAACTGATAACTGTACAGCATTGCATTAGCAAACTGAAGCAAATCTGTAACTGAAGACAAAAGACCCCCGCCAGCCCATTTATAAGAGTTATCAACATAGGGTGCGTTTATTAGATGTCCATGTTTATTTTTCTTGTAATTCCTGTAAAAAAACAAACACGAGCATTAAAAGCAATTCAAGTTTAAAACAATATACATCAAACCCGTGAATAAAACATCAGTTACTGAATATTACTTATATGCAGACTAACTTCGATAACCTGAATGATTATAGCTCAATTTTCTAATTACTTGATATAATTTTATGGCCTTTAACATTTTTTTTTGTTCTAAACTCCATAGAAATTGTTTGTTAAAATAAAATTACAGCTTCAATCTGAAGCTGTTCCAAAATAAATTTAATTCGTTTTATGTCTGTGAACAATAGGGTGAAATAAAAGTTAAAATCTGCTCACAAGAATTTATTACAGGCTTAATGTTTTAAGATTATTATGGATGGTGTTTCAATATAAACGTAAACAACAACAATCTTGGCCTGCTCTACTTTTGGTTAGAAAATATACAGCTGCTTACCCCAGCTTATTCTGCAAAGCTATATTTTTAAACAGATAATTTGTTTTGAACAAAAGAAATAAATTATATAATTTCTGAACTCAAATCTGTTGAATTTCATAATATATTAAGTAATTCTGGTGAGTTTAAAGTGAAAATTTGTTTTAGTTATTTAAAGATATATAGTTAAAAAAAGTGACATAGTTGCTAGATTTAGAAAGAAATTGCTTTTTTGGCAGTTCTGATTTGGTATCTTTTTACTTGTTTATTACTGTTTGTTCTTGGTGCAAGCCGTACACCATCATATGTTAGTGTTAGCATATTGTTCGCGCTACAAGATTAAGTTCATTTACAAATTATCATTTAGGTTTCAATTTTGAAGTTGATATATTGTTAACAAAGTGTTTTATAACGATTCCTTTTTCAAATGACAATTCTGTCTTAAAATGACAGGTCTTCAAATTATTATTATTCATTATTATTTTGATACTGTAAGGATGTACTGAAACCTTTCTTCTGATTTAATTTTATCTGTGCCTTATGCTGTTATCACTGGAGGAAACTAATAAATGTATTGTTCTACTGTTGATTTTTTAATGATGAACACAGTTTGCGGTTCTGGTCATCTGCTTAACAGGGATAGAACATCTTTTTGCTGTGGATCATGCATAAAGCTAATTCGCTCTCTGGAGATTAACGTTTGATGGTTTAATAATTATTATTTCATAGTGGTCTACGGTCAGTAGATACAAATGATTTCAAATACTACAAAAATTACTCGTGTAAGCATTACACACATGCAACTTTTAAAAATACATAACACTATCAAGTATAAACAACTACTTGGGTTTCTAATCACCATTGTTAGAAAAAATTTAAATATTTGTACACTATTCTTTAAAATAATTTTCATTTATCTAATTCATGCTAATTTTGTATTTTCTAATAATTGTTGAAAATTGGAAACAAATAAGTTTATTAATAGTTGTTTTATAATTGTTTAAAGTTTTGGCAAGTTGGTCACTAATGTCAGATAGTTGCGACCAAAAATTGAAGCAGAGTTTATATTTTATAAGCACAGTTTTATTTAGGGGGCCAAAGTTCATTTTTGATATGTTTTAAAAAAATACCAGGAGCTAAGTAATCGTCAGATTTTCATCTAAAACTGAAGATTTTATTGGGCAAAAAACTAATGTAAAAATAGCACATCTGTTGTAATATTTACAAAAGATGTGATAACATTTTATTTACTTTCTCAAATGTTAGTCTGAAACAGGTAAGGATTCTCTTACTTCTTAAAACTTGAAAGCAGTTATATTTAATGAAAGCAATATTGTAGAAATCCATTAAATAAAATACAAAATTTTTACAAAATATACATTATATAGGTAGTATGCTTAAATATAAAGATATCTGAAAACAAGGTATCTCAGTTGCATCTTTTTAGTCATAATTAATAATAAAATTTTTTTTTATACACAAGTATATATTATGGTCACTTTCTTAACATTGCCAGCTTGAATTCTTTTTTTTTTACGCATTTTTATCGAATTACTGCAATTTTCTATCGATATTTGTTAATCTATCAAGATTAGTTAGAATTGTTCTTTATCAATGGTACAGTGACCGACCTAGCTGGTAACATTTATAGCTTCCTCTTAAATGCTTAGAGTTTAATTCTAAGTAACTGTCAATTTTTTTAAACATTATAAAGATACATTTTTTATTTTTTTACAAAGATTTTTTAAATTGTTAGATATTACTTGGTATTTAAATTACAGAATTAGTTCCATCCTTCAAATTTAAAGTATTGGATATAGTAAAGTTGATATAAATAGTCCTGATAATATTTGAACAGAATGAGTAAGTAAAATACTTAAATATATTTATTAAAGATATAAGTCATGAGAATTTTTATTTATAAGTATTATATTATTTTAAATTGTATTAGGGCAGTTAACATGTACAGTGACTCTAAAAAAAATGACTTTGCATAAATTTTGCTCTATACTGCATCTTACAAGTACAATTGATCACTGCAATATACAGATGACAAATTTTCATACTGCAGATGAATGTATATTAACAGGCAGATATATGTATTCTGTCAGTATTCTCCTGAGTTGGAACTAATGTAAAACCACCTTTTCTAAAACCATTAACCATACAGTACAGAAACGTTTTTCCTTTTCTCGTTTGTTGAGTATTAGAAGTTGTACAAGACTCCAACTTATATTTCACAAGGGAGTAGTATTATAGGTTATTCTAAATACCAGATCTTTTTAACACTATTAATATATGAAAGGGGGCCAAGAAAAAAACACGATAAAAGTGGGAAATCATTATTCACATGTGACAATAAATCAGAGTTTTATTGTATAAAATCAATGAATATATGAAGTTATTTTCTTTCATTTAATTATCGAAAGAAAATTAAAATTTATTTTACCTGTCTGTATAACATGCAATTTATTAACCTGTTTGCCCTTGATCCTATTAAACTAGTTAGAGTTAAACTAAATATATATTAATATATTGGTGAGAAGTAAAATTTTGTGTCAAAGAAAATAAAGGCAAAATCTACTTTACCAACAGGTTTATATATATATATACCAGGGATGGAGTTTTTGCCGGCAAAAAAGGGTTTTTGCCAGGACAGTGGCAAAAACTGGTAAAAACCGGCAAAAACCAAATTATCTAAATTGCTGATTAAATATTATTACAAAATACTTGAAACAAATTTAAATCAATCATAAGGAGGTAATTGTTCTCNGTGTTTTTGTCCTCTCATCTTGGAAAATATAGGTTTTTGCCACTTTTTGCCAATTTGCTTGGCAAAAACCTGTTTTTGCCAGGACGGTTTTTACCGGTATTTACCATGGTCTTTTCCACCTACGGCAAAATCTTGCCAACCCTGGTCTTAATAATTTTGGTTAAAATAAGTTTTGAGGTCACTTATACTATAAATACAGTTCAGAACAATTTAAAATAAGTTCATTTCACTGGAAAAAAGAGAATAATCACAAATTTTCCAATCAATAATGTTTTAAACTACTAAAAAGACATATTATTACATTATCATTTAATTATGGAATAATAATTTTGTTAATTTTTTTTGTAATTATTTATATTCATAGTATATATTTCAATTCTAGAAATAATTTTGTATCAAAAATATGTTTTTGTCCTCTCATCTTGGAAAATATAGGTTTTTGCCACTTTTTGCCAATTTGCTTGGCAAAAACCTGTTTTTGCCAGGACGGTTTTTACCGGTATTTACCATGGTTTTTTCCACCTGCGGCAAAATCTTGCCAACCCTGATATATACATATATATATATATATATATATATACAGTCAAACCTCGATATCTCGAACAGGAAGGGAGAGGAGAAAAAATTCGAGATACCGAAAATTAGAATTATCGAAAATCGCATGTTATCAATGATAGAATAAAGAAAAATGCTCTTTACATACCTTATATACTATTCCATATTTATTCTAAAAACACTTTTTACACTTTCATTTAAAAAAAGATTCAATTGTTGTATGCTTTAGAGATGTGTATGGAAGTTTGTCTGTAGCGCTTTCTAAGTGGACTATAGCTTTAAATGTCTCCTCTGACATATTTGGCTGCCACTCAATAAATCTCCTTACAGTGTCCACTGCAGAAAGTGCTTGTTTGTTAGTAACATTGGGTGGTAAATCTTCGATTTCCTTATCCTCTTTTTCTGACAGTTCACAAGAAGTTTTCATTTGAGCGATGATATCATTGTCATCCCACTGACCACACACTGTTACTGCATAATCTACGTTTACAAAGTCATGAAATTCCATGTCATCAAGTTTCATGAGTCCGGTCAATCTTTTCCAATCATTTTTGGTGTAGTTTTCAGCATAATTAACAATATTGATTGTTTGACTACTTTCGTGATCTTTAATGAATCCAGCCTTCTTGAAGCCATTCATTATCGTAGAGAAAGACACATCATTCCATGCCACTGACGTCTTTATGTCCATTTTTTAAAAAAAGTTCATCATTATGAGAATTGGTTTTCTATTCTTAAATTTTTTTATTTTTTTTTAAATAGTTTTTTATTTTCAGAAGAAAGATCTACACTATTTATGGAGGAAAAAAATTCAAGTTATCGAGGTATTAGAAAAAAAAATTCGTGAAATAAATATTTTTTTTTTAACATTGAGTGTACAGGAAATTTGAAGGGAATTTTTTTTCCTTCGAGATATCGAAAAATTTGTGAAATCGAGGTTTGACTGTATATATGCATGTATATATAGATATATATATACATATATATGTATATATATACAGTCAAACCTTCAAGGGTTCGAAATTTCGACTCACTATATCAGTACTGCAAACAATTCTAACTAATTTTTCCGAAATGCTCCTTTTTATTATACATTATTTAAATAAATGACCCATGAAAAGAAATATAAAAATGATTAAAAAACAATATGTAGTAACAAAAAATGTGTTAACTTTTATTTTGTATTACTCTTCATCTTGCGTACAAAAAATTTACGGATGGCCTTTATTTAGGGATAGGAAACCGAGATATATGAAACAAACAAAATAAATGCTTATGGCTACATTCCACTTAATAGATGGTTTTAAAAATTGGTACATATATATTATATGTAGAAATTTCAAAATTACCAAAAAATTAAGAAAAAAAAATCAATCGAAGACAGAAAAAAGTTTATAATATCCAATTTCCTCTCTTCTTTTGGTTCACTATAACTACAAAAAATAATAATATATGTGTATAGCAAGGCACAGAAGCGATAATTTTGTTCATTATGTGTGGGAGTTCACGATAAACCATGATCACTATAACGGGATTCGACTGTATATAGGTAGATATAGTAAGGAAATAGAACTACTAAAATTTTTTTACCTTGATCTATTGTAGATGATATTATCATTTTCATCAAAATAAGTATTTTTCATTCCTAAAGTCCTAAACAATTTATTCATATGAGATGGAAAATCTTCTTTGGCTATTGATTCTATAATTGCACTAACAAGTGTATAACCATGAGTACTGTAATGAAACTTAGAGCCTAAAAAAAAAAAAATTAATCAAAACATTTTATTGAAGAGTTTTTTAATATTGTTTATAAACTGTAGAAAAACTGCAATGATAATTACTCAACATAGAACAAAGATTTATTTTTTCAGTTTGTTAATTTTTACCTTTTCCCTCGTTCTACCTTTTTTTCTCTTTTCCCTCTGTAAGTTATCAGCTTGTCCCCAAAATGTGATAGTAAGCAATTAAACTCCATATTTTTATACTAATGTTTCAGTCCAGGGGATTTAAGATGCTTTTCGCGCCGGCACAAAGGATATTATTTTAGATGGCAAAATACAAATTTTGAGAAAAATTGGTGGAATAGTTCTTGAAAAATTGAATTTTCAAAATACAGCTTTTTTAAAATTTGATTTCTCAGGAACTATTTGGCCGATTTTGTTCAAATTTTGCATTTTGCTATTTAAAGTTAAATTCTTTAAAATAATTTAAAAAATTGTATACCTTACAATTCAAAATTTGTTTGACTATTATCAAATTAAACAATAAAAAATAATATTTACAAAAAGTGATATTTTGCAGGGAATTATCTTTGAATAAACTAATTTTATAATTGTCAGTAAAAATTTTTCAATTAGCTTAAAATGTTCTTGAGATAAGGTGAAATACGCAAAACATAAAATTACCTTAAAGGGGGACCTTTGGACTGATCTCTGGAACTAACTACAGGGATCATATTTTCTAGATTCCGGCTACCCCCTATATTTTGGAAATCAGAAATCCGAATCTGACGAAAAGTTACGTTCATTCAGAGAAAGAACGTTTTTGTGTCTGATTTTGTAGCTTAAAATATTGTCTGCACTAATTAATTAGCATATATGAGGCCCACCCCCTTGAATCATTAAGATTGAGTTCTAGAACGTGAAGATTCGATCATTAGATCAAAAGTTATTCAGGGTGGTCCGCTTTTTATTTTGCACACTGTACATGCAATATTCTCTTTTTTGACAAAATTATGTTGTAAAATAGTGATTAATTATGACATGTAACTCACTTAATGTTAAGTAGTAACACAAATTAAATGTCTGATGTATTTAATCAGACTAAATTTGCATTGAAGTATACTTGAAATATTTGATGATAAAATAAAATTAAACCTTAATGTGAAGTTGCAGATTACTAAATTCTATACTATAATGGTTTCTTCTTTACTTGCAACTGAATATAACTATAAACATTTTTATAGAAGAAAGGTTTACTTTTTTGATAATAGAAAACTGCCTTGTAGTTTGATGCTAAAACCAAGACTGAGAATTTTAAACCCAAAGGGACATTTTAAATTATTTATAGAATATGAGTCTGCTTCAATTAATGAGTTGAGAAAAATTTCACTTTAAAATACAAATTATTTCCATCAAGAAATATTAATGCAAACAAAAATTTGAATAAATAATCATTAATCATAGCACGTTCATCAATTACCAACTTAAAAATCATTTAGAAAACTGCTTAATTTCATATTTGGGAAAGGGATTATACAGAGTTTTGGATATAAAAAGAGAAATTTGATCAGGGTAGTCACCATCCAGATAAACTTTGATCTTAAGAAAAAATAGGAGTAGAAAATAAAAAAGCTGAGAGATTTTAAATTAGCAGAATTTTAAACATTCGTATATTTATGCACATAAGGAATTAATAAAAATAAAACATACTTATATATATTTTTTATTAAAATTATTTTAGTTTATGCTGAAATGTTTTATTTCACAGAAAAATCAAGTAATAAATCCAATAAATTAATAATTTCTATTAAATAAATGCATAATTAAATTTGTTATAAGCAAGATAGATATGAATCAATTTACAAAAATAAAATGTTCAACATTTTAATATTTTAAGAAGTTTTTATATGAGAGAAATGCTTATTTAACAGAAAAGCAAAATATAAAAATAATTTATCAAGTAGAACTGAACTATTATTAAAATAGCAAAGGTGATGAGAAAATAAATGATACTGTAAATGAGTTTTTATAAGTCATTTTACAACTTTAATGTATAATAATCAATTGAAAAAATATATAAATGATTTTTTGTGTGATTATTGATATAACACTCATCATTGCTTGTATATATTTTAAAAAATTTCAGAGTTAATTATGAATTTCTTTGAGAATTTCAAGTCTTTCCAGAAAGATCTTTAAAGGATCACTCTATTGTGTTAAGGGGAAATATATCATACAAGTGTTTTAATTGTTTAACGACTGNATATATAAAGCATATGTCACTTAAATACTCTACAGAACAATTTTAAACAACGAGCTGATATTTCGGTAATTTCATGGAATTAGGCTTAACATCAAAAAACCCTCCGGCCCTGGGGAGACACACGCTAGAGAGACTGCCGGCCTCAGCGGTAAGCGCGCTTTCGTGCTTTGCGTCGCGAAAGGGTTAAAGGGAAAATCAAAGAATTGTGTCAAACTGTTCTCAGTTGACTACCAACAGAGAGGCATTTGATGAAATTTTTCTATGATAGAGAAACACGCAATAAAAAATTTCCCTTAAACACACCAGATATCTAATTAGTTTCAGTTTAAAGTAACTTAAGATAATTGAACTTCGCTGTGATAAATTTCAATTAAAAAATGCTTGAAAAACATTTCATTTTACAATAAAGTAAAAGAGTCTTTTCAAATCTAGGTCAAAGAGAAACAGGAGTAATTGTGACACGTAAAATACAAATAGTTTTAAACACATATTTGGAACTGCATGTTTAAATTAATAAAATTGATTGAATAATAAATAGAAATTAAGCTTTTATTCTTAATGTATTTCTAATAATAAAATGTAACTCAGTAGAATTAGTGTCAATAAATTTTTCATTCTAATAAAAGATTAATTAAATTAAGATAAATTAAAAGAAATTTTAGTTTTCAATGAAACTTAATAAATAGTTACATGTTTACAATCACTTTACACAATTAACTACATTTCAATTGTAACAAAAATATACATATAATTTTTAAACATAAAACAGTTCATACTTTTCATTAAATAGAGTACTTATATTATGCAATCAAACTGACAGATAATTTAAATTTGAAAATTAATTTAAAGTAAAAACTAAATATTTTATTCAAAATAAAAAACAATAAACAAATAAAGTTAAATTACCTAATATATGGAGTTACTCATATGGAATATAAATCATTTCATACAGATATTAAAATTACAAAAATTAAACTATATTTTAAAATAATTAACAGGGTATTTTATAGTAATAAAAAAAACACCAAATTTCTAAATTGATATCTATTTCTTATTGTTTTCTTTCTGAGAATCCAGAGGTAATTTCCTTTTTCTGTTTTCTTTCTGAGAATCACAGAGCTTTTTACTTTGAACAGGAAAAGATTTAGCAGTGCAGACAGGTAAAGAATCAACATGCCTCTCAGATACATGAATAGTAGCATTAGGAACAGTTTTTGAAAGAGACTGCTGATAATTTGACCAACTGTAAATTAAATTATGAGCAAATTCTCGGTTTATTGGTTCATGTGCAGTATCTTTTGAACCAAATACCTCACAAGTACTGGCATTAAGACAGGAAAGATAATGTTTTGTTGTCTGAATAGAGTCTATTGTTTCAATCTCAAGGGAAGTTCTATTTTCAGTCATAATGTCATCTATAAAATTAAAGGTACTCTCAACTGATGGTCCATTAAAAGAGCTTTAATCATCTTTGAAAGAATAGGAATTTCTTTTACATTCCCTTCCTTAAGTTCAATCACTTTTGACCCATACGCCATCATAGGCTTGCTTTAAAAAAAAAGGCCTAAAAATCATCAGTCTGATACTGCCTTAGTTCTAAGTCTAGTGGAAGTGTGTCTTCCTTCGAAATAACTTTTGGCAAAAATTTTGCCTGCTTCATCAGTGCCGTAAAAGTTTTAGCTTCTCCCCTCAGGACAGGATTAAGTGCAGATAATTTTATTAACAAAGGATTACTCAACGGTAATTTCTTCTGCATATAAGATGCACAATTTGAGTAACTTTTTCTCAATACCTTCAAAAAGTCCTGAATAGTAGAATCCATTTTCTTACTGCTATCTGTAGTATCCATTCCAGTGAAATCGAGTCTATCAGGCAAATAATTGTTGCAAATAATTGGTTGGATCGATTTTTAAAAAATCTTGGTAACCCTTCGTGTTACACAAAAGCTCATGCTTTAAAAGAAAAGACGAAAAATTGTTTGGTCAAATTAAACATTTGAACATGTAGTTCATGTAAAAGACATTCTTTAGATTGAAATAATTTGACACATTTATTAAAATGGGGAAAACAGCTTGATACACACCAATTTATAATAATGTCTTTCTTTGCTGTGCAAAAAGTCTTTGAATAATTCTTCTTTTTCTATTTTTTCCATCATCAGTGAGATGCTTCTTTTTCAGTTAGCTTGAATATTTTGAAGACTTTTAATTCCTTCATTAGAAAGTTGTCTTTTGGAGAAAAAAACTTCCTTAACATCATTTTCATAAAATTTTTCGTCCAATCCAACCCATGAAAAATTAAATATTATGAAAGCATCCCATAAATACTGCACATGTTCTAGTACTTGAAGCATATAGAGTCATCTGTGGTCAGGTCTATTTAAGGGTTTTAGTAATTTCATCCGAAGAACTGCACAAACTTGGAAAAATAAGTATCTTTTATCAGCACTCTTGAGATCAAAATATATGTTGTCACATAAAATTTCTAAGTGCTTCAAAAATGGCTCAGTAAAATGTTTCAAGCAATTGTTTGCGATATGGCATGTCCAACAAATGTGGAGCATTGATGGATCTAATTTTAGTTTCAATGCCAATTTTTTCCCTAGGCATTGTATTACATGAATCCACTAAGACACTTATTAAATTTGTAAATGGCAATCCATTTTCTCTGAAATTGAAAGAATAGTATTATAAATGCATTCTGCGTTACAAGTAGACAATTTAATCGATGCTAAAAGTCGCAAAATCACTTTCTGCTGGTCTTCAGCGAAGTATCTAACAAGTACAGCTAAAATACTCTCAGGGGCGCTATTAGTGCTCTCATCAATGTTGAGGGAAAAAAACTTTATACTGATTTTCTTTTATTGTTTTGGCAAGTCCATACTTTGGCTTGTATGATGTTGTTGTACTAATGTCCAATGAATTTAATACCATGATATCACGTGATAACGTTTTAGTTAACTCAACAATTTGTGGAGCTAAAGAAAAAGGAATTGAATATTCAGACAAAAATGACAAAACTAGAGCTTCAGCCCAACAGTACATTGATTCATAAGTATGAATTAGATTTTCTGTTCCAGGATAAAGTGAATTTAAAATCTGGGAATTCTTAACAGATTGACAAAATTTTTTATGAATAGCTGTTCCAGAATGATTCATCAAAGATTTAAACCCTTCATTGTGATATTTGATTGATGTATTGCATGCAATACAGAAACATGTACTTGGGGTATCAATCTTGTGGCACCACACGTTGATTTCTTCTTCCAATATGTCTTTTTCAATGAACCATTCAAAACAAAATCTATTCTTGCAGTCTTTTTCCAGATCGCTAATATCATATTTTTCTGTTAAAAACTTCATAAAAAATGCAATTTACAAAATGACAAAAAAATGTATGTCGAATATACAACATAAAACGTCCACATGAAAATATTTTGCCAGAGAGAAATTCTAACACGTGCTGTTTAGTAGGGCAGCGAGCAACTATAATCTACAACCCTACAGTCTCTGCTTTTAATTCCAAAAATGTTCTCTAAGCAGTCAGGATTTCCTCTTTCCAATCCATCCCTGCAACAGCGTCATGCCTCTCTCTTTCCCAACACAAACAAAAGGAGATAAAACGAATTCTGTCTTTCTCGCACACTCTGCACCCCCTACCCCTGCCTTCCACTACTGTTCCTAGCCTCGGAACAGCGCCATCAAAATCCTTGATGAATAAGGATTGCTACAAAAAGAGCTCTTATCATTATTTGGCGAATTTTTTATTCCCGTCTGTTCCAATTTGCGATTTTTAACAAAACTGAAAGGTAAGCTTCTGATTGTATACTCAGAACGATAATACAAAAAAACCGGAATTCTGGGGTGTCCTCAGACCACAATCACCCCTGGAGAAAACTCAAGAATGTAAGGAGCATCATTTTTACTATTTACCTGGTTTTGCAATTAGTGGATCATCTTTAAATAAATTAAGGGACGATTTGACATCATGCCTCTCTTTAATATAATATTCTTTATTATCAAACTCTCCTTTCTCTTCTCGTTTGTTTTTTTCATTGTTAGTCTGAAAAAAAAAAGCATAATATTAAAATCTGAATTTACAATGCGTAAAAAGTTTTGGAACAATAATGAGAAATAAAAACTCTCATAGGAAAATGTTTACAAAACATTGAATATTTCTGAAAAGATGTATTTCTCTCCTCCTACTTAAAAAATAAATAATGAAGCAATGTTGGTTTCATAGTATACTTGTTTAACACGTTGAATGCAATGCAAATTTCATATGGCTTGCCCTTCTGGTCAAAAGGATTTTTGTGTGTTCTATATTGCATTAATTTCTTCACACCATTTTAGTAACGATAATACAAAAAAATTAAAAGCATTAAAAATTTACTCGCATTATGTGTTTCTAATAATCTTGGTTTCGCCAGTCACCGGTGACCCCGTGGCATTCAACATGCTAAAAATGGGTGATATTTTGAAAATAATATGTCTAAAACAAATTGTGGTTGGTTGTAAGTACAAAACAGAAATTTGTTCTGTCACATTTTTCATTCGACAATTTTTAAAAGAAATAAGAAATTTGGCAAAAGAAATTGGAGCTTTTATATCCTTCTTTAAAACATGTTTTTTTCTCATTAAGACTCCCAGAAATTGTTCTAAGGGCTACAAAAAGGAAAAATATTCATTATAATATTTGAAAAATAGTGAATAAATATTTCTGTAATTCTTTTTTAAAATATTTCTTATTGTACACGCATCAAAAATTTTCACAAATCATCATAAGAATAATTTATTTGATGTTACTAAAAAAGGTTTTTGGCATAAAATTTACATTTATAACATTAAAATTTCTTTTAAAACAGCAAAAAAAAAAAAAAAAAATTGACTTATTAACCCTCCAAGTTCTTAAGCCAAGATTCACTGAAATTTCCTAGTTCTGCTCTATTTTTGTGTTAAATAACAAGAAAAAGTAAGTTTTTTGAAGCAGGAAAGACTGCAACTGAAAGTTCAGATAGTATGAGATCAATAAAAACTAAAAAGTTCCAGTGCTTTATTATTTAAAAATTTTTTTTTAATAAATATATATGGAGAGAAAAATACAGCATAAAAATACTCTAGAAGTTTATCATATCATTAAATTTAAAAACTCACTGGGTTGGATAATATCACAAATTTTCTGAATTTTGGTTGACTGACTTTCTCTTCAAGTTTGTTATAAAATAAATAAATTTTTATTATATATAGAATATTACTTTACATTTTGTCTAATACATCATGTTTCTTTTTAAGGAAAGATGTTTATATACTTCTTCAAAAACAAACTATTATTAATGGTTTGCACTCAGTTACTGACTTTTTTAAACAGTATATAAAAATTTTTCCTAAGAAAGAAACATGGTGTATTAGACGAAATATAAAGTAATATTATAAATAAAATATAATTTTATTTATTTTATTACTAACTTAAAGAGAAAGTCGGTCAACCAAAATTTAGGAAATTTGTGATGTTATCCAATATAACGATTTCATTTATTTCACTTTACATTAAGTGTCAAGGATGCAGGCATTTAACCCAGCAGGATGCGTGGGGATCCATATGGACCCCAGATGATTTTGTTAATAGAATTTCTTTCCTTCTATTGACCTTGAAAGTTCTTTCTTTTCAGTAGTCTATTTTTAGATGCCAGCCAACACATACCAGGAGTTACAAATTCCAAAGGGTCATTATTTCTTTTTTAACAACGGAGTTGTCAAGTTAAGGGCGTGACTGGACCCGTGCGCCTTTTTGCATAAGTCGAAAAAATGCATTTGAACACTGCTACTCTTTGTGTTCAGACGTTATTTCTTAGCTACAATATGGCAACTTTGTATAAAAAGGAAATGGAGAGGCTGTGAATTCTTTTAGATGAGGTTGAGAGCGAGGAAGCAGAATGTAATTCTGATTGCAAAATCATGAGTGATCATGACTCACAATTAGAATTAGAAATGAAGATATCGCTCAAGAAGATGCTTCAAATAATGATAATTTTATTGGAAAAAATAAATGTACATTGTGGAAAAAAGAAAAAGTCAAGACCAATGTTTGAACTCGTGCACACAAGATCATTTCGCATCGACCAGGAGCCAGATTGGCTGCAAAGTGTTTATCCAGGTCAAATGAAGCTTGGGATATTTTTACGGAAAGGAAAATTATGGATGAAATAATTATTTACACAAAACTTTACACCAAAAAAATATCTAATTTTACAAGAAAAAGAGATGCCAAAGGAACTGGTGAATTTGAAATACCAGCTCTTTTTGGACTATTATATTTGTGCGGATTACACAATCTTCACACCTGAATGTCCATGATTTATGTGCTACCGATGGTGCACGGATTGAAATTTTTTCAGCCACAATGTCCTGCAAGCGATCTTTGTTCCTCCTGAGATGCTCGAGATTCAATAACATAAACACAGTGGAAGAAAGACAAAAAGATGGCAAACTTGCTGCTATTAGGAACATTTTTATGTTTATCAAACATTGCAGAGATTGTACTCAGTTGGAGAATATGTAACAGTTGATGAAAAACTGTTACCCTTCAGAGGACATTGTGGATTTCGCCAATATATTCCTAACAAGACTGAAAAATATGGAAAAGTTTTTGCAATAGTAGATTCGCATACTTTTTATATATATGACATGGAGATTTATACAGGCAATCAACCCAAAGGTCAGTTGTGCAATAGTAATTAACCTATCAATATTGTCAAAAGAATTATGAAACCTCTGTATAACATAACAACTGATAACTGGTACACTAGTTATCTTCTAGCTAAAGATCTCTTGGATGAAAAGATTACTCTCATGGGAACTCTTCAAAAAGACAAAAAAGGAATACATGCACAATTCACAACTGCAAAAGGTCGTGAAGTTAATTCTTCTGTTTTTGGATTCTAAAAGGATAAAACTGCTGTTTCTTATGCCCCCAAAAAAGGAAAAAGCGTCGTTCTTTTTTCCTCTATGCACAACGATAATACAATTGATACAGCAACGGCTGATAAGAATAAACCAGAGATTTTATTATTCTATAACCTTATGAAAGGTGTCGTAGATGTTGATGAAATGGTATTGTGGGGTCCATAAGGACCAGACGCACATTTTTGTGTTTCTATGCTAGGTGCGCGTCCTGCCAGGTTAAAGAACTTGAATGTAGTTTGGCTAATAATTTAAATCAAAGCAATCTTCTGACATACATGTATATATATATATATATATATATATACAGTGAAACCTCCTGTTATGGATGTTCCTGCAAAATGGACCCCTCTCAATACGAACATATTTTTAATTCCCCAAGAATCTTCCATGAATAAACCATTATGTGCATTCACGTTTAACATTATGCACGGTCAAGTATAGTGGACACTCCCGTAACCTGTCAGGGATAGTCATTTTTGCGCTGAAACGTTCTTTTCTATTGCTTCAAACCGGACACTACTTTTTCTAAATTTGAAAAAATAAAAAAAACAATTTCTGCTTTAATTTGCGAGAATTTTCTTTTTTTTTGCGAATAGCAAGAGCATTTTCACCATTTTTAAAGCACATGAATATTGTTAAGCTATTTCACTACTAAAGAATCAATCCTTCTCCTGACACCTTGCCTTATCTTTGGAAAAAATATGATACTGGGCTTGTGAAATAATTCGAACAGTGGCATCTTTTCAACTGGACAAGACAGGTTATGAGATCCCTCAATTTGAAATGACGTCTTAAATGCTCTAAACGCTCCTTCCCCACTGAAAATTTCTTTCATTTTCTTATCAATTTGAAGACTGTATTTAACACAGATGGGGTAAAAAATGAGAACAGAAATATAATCTTGGAGTTGTTCATATAAATGAAACATTTATTCAGACACTTGATAGATTATCAATTGTGAATAATTATCTCAATAGATCCTCATTCCTTATCATTCCTATTATGGATTGCTTTTTTTTTCTGTGCATCATGGGAGGTTTACTTTCAAGGAGGTATAACCACGTTTCCTATCAAGTGATAGGAAGGTGTTAGGGGCTCTAAACCTAATAATTGAAACTGACTGAGGACTAAAAGCTCCTATTCGGTATCATAGGACTAACTTGAACATCTGTCTAATAGGAAAATTATATTCATACATTTGTAGCTACATCTAGTATTATGTATTCATATCAAGCTTTTTAATATATTCTTTTTTATCGAAAAAATATTGTTTAAAGTTTAAATAAATGTCCCTGTAGATAGTTATTGCAGATTATTTAATTATTTCTATATCTTTGAAAATATTCTAAAAACAATTTATGGTGTTAAACTTCGCTATTAGGGTACCCTTCTCGTAAACGGACAACTCCCATAAACAGACAATTTTTTTGGTCCCAAGAATGTCTGCTTAACCGAGGTTTAATATATATAGGTGTCTATATATATGTATGTATATGTTTATATATATATAGATATGTGTATTTATATATACACACACATATATACATATATCTTAGAGTTCAAAGGTATTGTTGTCTTGAGGGGTTTGAATAGAGTCACTTTAATGAAATATCTGATATAACTGAGAAATTTTTCAGAGCTGTTTAAATTTTCCAAATCTTCATTCTAACCACATATTTGGGCTAGACAAATATGTGGTTTGTTTATTAGTTTTATTATTGTAAAACATAAGTACAGAGTAAAATATACAAAAAAAAAAATTCATTACCCAATAGTTGGTATAAAAAATAAACTTACTTTTGAATTCTTATTATCATTTTGCCCGATATTCTTTTCATAGTGTCTAATACCAGATGTATGAGAAAGAAGACGGCGGCATGTTATTATTACCTAGAAAAGTTAAAATAATTATGTGTTTTATAAAGAAAATAATTAAAAGTATTACAATATTTTAGAATTTTGAGTCTCACATACCAGTTTTTTAAAAGAATGAAGAAAAAGAAAGGGGAAAAATCCAAGCTCATATCATAGAAAGATTTTTATCAAAACTCTTGAACAGAATCTATCAGCAGAAAACAGAATCCTGACTTCTATATAAAATTTGTATTTAAATTTGTTAATTTCCTTATAAGTTCAAATTTAATATTACAGTATAACCTACAAAATCTGGACTAGTTGAGGGTTTGGAGGGTTCAGGTTTCAGAAATATAGGAATATCAGATACTTTAATGAAGCCAATCACAAATCCACAATGATTTTCAATAATCTTTTTTTTCTATTTATGCGCTATAGCACGTCAAATATGCAATATATATATAGTAGTTAAGTTGCGAGAAAAATTATAAAGTGTCCTCTGAGGTGATTCTCATTTTTGAGAAGGAATAATTGTGTACCTGTGGACAAAATTAAACCAATCTTCGTAAAGAAAAAAACAAAATTTCTTTTTCTTTTATATTAATAGTAGATGGAAAAAAAGAAAATATTTCTGAGCATCAAATTATATCACTGCTTGTCTTGAGGCAGGTGAATGATCAGCCTTCCTTAAAGTAAAATACAATTCTTTTTTTCGTTCAGAAATTCTTCTTTTTAACTATTAACAGATAGATTAATTATAAATGCACATAATAAGAGATGGATAAAGAGGCAGAAAATTTATCCTCTTTTAATATCACGAATAATTTTTCACCTCTTTTCTTTTTTCATCTTGGATACCTCCTGTTTCACTCCCCTTTCTCAAGGTTCCGTTTAAATTTTTTAAACATCATTTGAAGTGCAAATTTATTTTATTTCATGCAGAATTTTATAATTTTTGGAGATGCTTTAAACTTGTTTTAAGCTCAGACAGAGTTTAGTTTATTTTTTAAAAAAAATATTTATAATGTTTTATTTTGATAAGTTTCAAATGATTAAAATCAAGAATAATTTACATTTTTTTTAAAAAATTTTACAGAAATGTTTTAATAGGAATTTTTCCCAATCATGTAACTATTTCAAACGATGTTTGTTTTTGATAATAAATTGTATTGACTGAATATTTGTTCTCGATTTTACTTTTTAATTAATTTTTTGGAATGGTAATATTTCTTATAGCATTGCAGTTCAATAGAGATTTTTGCAGGAACAAGGATAAAAGAGATTGGTTGGAGCTGTTATCAAAGATTTTCTCAGATAGAGTCTGTATGAATTTACTATTCAAACTGGTGGCCATTTAAAAAAAAATGAATTACATTATTAAAGAAGAATTAAATGTTATAAAAAATAAGTTCTTAAATGTTATATTTATATTTTTAACATTGTTATAACCAAAATTATGTTTATTTAATCTTAATGAAGAAAAGGTAAAATATTTATTTTCAATTCAAATTTTAATCTGAAATACTACTTCAATACTGAAATCAGTCCTAAAACTAAAGCACTCACACTTTGTTATGTATCATACATAGAAGCAATAAATTTTTTTAAACTAAAAGAATTTGCATACATTTTTAACGACAATTTTGAAAAAGTTGTTTATTAAATGGATAAACTATTTAGCAGGATTTTATAATTTCTATCGAAGTTCAATTCTCTCTGGTGTCAAATTTTTTGGGGGGACAAAATTAAAATACACAGATACAATAGTAGTAAAAACTTCACATTTGAAAAAAGAAATTTTATAAACAGCTGTAAAATGATTAATGTTTTTTATTTATTAGCCTTTTTTTCTTATCTTAAGTAAATTTAAATTGATAATGATCAAAAAAAAAACTTTCCCTCTGAAACATTGGGTAGGACTTTTCAAAATCTCAAGAGGACGTACACCAACCATGAGTAGAATGAAAAAGATTTATTTGATTTTGAAACTAGGACAACAAAATAATTTTGTATAAAAGTTTTACTTACAGGTTTTCCATCAAATGTTTTCGGAGGGAATGAAGGCACATATTCTTGAATTGGTTTATCAAGGTCTAGTTTTCCTTGTTCAATAAGTTTAGCAACAGCAGCCATAGTAATACTCTTACTAATACTTGCTATCCTCATCACTGTATCAGCCGTACATAACACTCTGTTTTCAACATCTGCATATCCAAATCCTATAATAAAAATAAATGCTGATATAAAATTATTTTAAAAATGTCGAATTACATTCTTAATTTCAGATTCTGTTAATTGATGAAAAGTTAAAAATTGACATGGTATTGTATGCTTCCTAAAACGGTTGCCAATAATGGGAAAGTTACATTAGCAATGAGATTCCTTATCCTTTACAAGTGACAATCAATTAAGAATCCCAAAATGGTTGTATATGAGATCTTAATAAAAAAAATCATCAACAATAGAGGAAGTTATGCTGTCTTAAGATTTGAAACACTATCAACTGTAGCAAATGATGTGTTAATGGAAAATATTAACTATTAATAGTAAATTCAAACTTACCGTTTAACTGTGCAGCATTTAACTTAAATTAAACTGTGAAGAAATTGTGCTTTTTTGGTTTAAACTTAAAAAGAAAAGAAATTGATAAATTTCATCCAATAAAAACATATGCAATATTAAATCATATAATCCCAAGAAAAATATGATTATAATACAGTAAAATCTTGCTACACCAATATTTTGGGGACCAAATAAGTATATTGTTATAACGGGATACATTATTATATCGGGGCCTATATACTTTGGGTACACAATAAGATTTTTTTTTAAATTTTAATGTTATATATGTATTAACTATAAATCTATTTATTAAATTATATTATATAAAAATTTAATTTGCAGAGTGGTAATTATGGTTAAATATGAAATCAGATAGGAATGTTACATCTGTGATTTCTTAAGAGGTAAGGGGGACAACTCTAAGAATGGAAGGCCTTGGGGTGGTCTATGTACATCAGGGATGGGGTGTTGAAATCTGAATACAAAATCAATTCACTATGGTGAAAAGAAATAAGATAAGTACATAATCATCAGTGAGACTTCTGGTGTCAGAAAAGACTGAAAAAAAAATGGCAAAATGTAATAAAATAAGACTTTTTACATTATTTGAAACCCAATGATAAATTGAGAAAATACGGTTGAAATTTGAAGAAAAAAAATTGTTTTACAGAGGTTTATTGCTTCAGAAAATATCACAATATTGAGAGGTGGATAACATTAATTCATATGCAAGTTCGTCAGGACCACGAAACATTATTGTAATAGAGGGAGTAATTGTTGTATCAGATATCGTAGTAGCGAGAGCTCACTGTATTTTCTTTTTGTTTCATAGTAGAAATGGAAAGAAAATGGATAGACATGTTCTCAATGCCCAATACACAACACTCCTTCTTAGAATGTTACATAAATTATCAAAACAGAGAAACAAAGATGTATAGTTTACAGCATAAATATTTAAGGGGAAAAATTAATGAGGTGAAAAAAAAACTAGAGAAACCATAATGGCCAAGAGGAGGATAATGCACAAAGCTGACAAATCATGACAGAATAAATTTCCAGATACAATACATGGTGAAAGCAAAACAGCGATCATTTACTAAAGGTGATGGTATAAATCAAATAAGACTCAAGGAAACGAAGATAAGCTGTGTTAGGAATAAAAAATAATTTTCAGTGTTAGCAAAATTACATTTGTGTCTGAGGATAAAGATAAAGTAAAGAAAACTGTTATATTAGGTAATGAAATACCAGGAACTAATAATGTGTGCTACATTGTTGTTCAGTATTTTAGATAACTGTACCCTAAGAGCAGTGTTTCCCGAACTTATTATTTTTCTGTATCCTTAATAAATTTTTTGTAACACTGTGTACCACTAATAAAAAAATTTATGTATTTTTTACCATAAAAAATTGCACAAAAGTTAAAAATCACAACTGGCTGTTGACACCACTAATTATTAACTGTTAACTCTACAAAAAATAGCCAATATAAAAATACGTAATTGTAAATTTTCATGACCAGCTTTGTTTTTAAATAAAATTTTTTGAAATTTTTGTCTGTTGCAAGATATTTTGCATAAGAACACATACACCCTAAACTGTTTCTGTACTCCTGGGGCTACGTGTACCACACTTTGGGAAACAATGCCTAAAAGGATGCTCAAAAACGTTAATGAGAAGAGAGGCATAAGTTTCTGTTAAGGCAAAGGAAGGGTGATGTAATAGATATGGTAAGGTCATTTGATGTTGCACGATAGAAAATAAATCAAATAAAATCAATCCCACTTTCAAATAAAATTTCAGATGATCTTTTTGATGTTGATATCAATGTTACACTAAAAATAACAACAATCTCATTGATAATATTAAATTTATCGCTTTTATTACCGATTTTTTATCTAGCCTTTTTAAAAATTAAAAAAAAGTATTGATATTGAGAACTATTTTTCTGAAATATTTAATTCTGCAAGCAGATCTTGATAGCAAGAAAAATGCACTATAGTTTTAGTTGATTTAACAATAACAAATTGGTGACATAAGGCCACCTCAAAAAAGTTAATGATTTTTAGCACCAGAAAATAATTTTTAAAACTTTTTTCTGACCATTTAGAATTAAGTTTTATCAACCATAATAAAGGAGAGTTGTGCAGACATATTTTGTAACATATCTGGAAGAGCAATATCCAAAAAAAAAAAAAAAAAAATTAANAAAAAAAAAAAAACCAAGAAGTGATGCAAGGTAGTCCCATTTTAAGAATTTGTTCATTACTTCTCCACTTTTCAATAACTACTTTTGTATAGAAGGGGTACAACATACACAATATTTTTTTTCCTTCCTGAAAAGTAAAAATTTGGAATCTTTTGAATTTCTCTTCATAAAATATTGAAAAAAATATATAATGCTCATAGAATAAATATGTTAAAAAAAACTACATACATACTTATTTCAATGAGTAATATAAATTTGAACTAAATATTTTAAAGATAATTTATAGGATTTAAGCAAAAACCAAAAATTGAAACTTAACTATTAAAGTACATATTAAGTGCTACATAGTTAATATGTACTATAATATTTAAGTTTTAATTTTTGGTTTTTGCTTAAATCCTATGTAGTTTGAAATGTAATTTGAAGCTATGTGTTGTAAATGTAGTTTGATGCTTGTGTATTGTAGATTTAACAAATTTACCTTCTGTCCAAACTGTTTTCCCATCAACACTTACGCCAACAACTATTCCAGGTGCTCCAACTTCATCCTAAAATAAATAAAAAGTAATGCACCACTGAGAAAGCAAAATATGAAGGGAAAAAAACTGATACCAGAAGAATATGTCCGAGTTCTGAGATGGCAAACCTTTTCAATTTGTGTTCCAGTTAATTTACATTCAATTATTTTGAAGCATTTAGGGTGCCATTTGTTAATTTTCTTTTTAAGAAATTATCTTTAAACCATTGTACATCAACTTTAAACAAAAGTGTAAGGATATCAGTTATCGACAATGTAAACCTTCATCTATGAAAAGGTACCCCACCATAGAATCGAACTAGTGAATATATAGAATCGAACTACTTATATACTAGTGAATTGGAATTATATTTTTGTAGTGGTAGATACACTATAAGTAAAATTACATTGCATGATTATATTTACCATTTAATTATAAAGGTGTTTCAAATATAAATTGAATAAACAGTATTTAAAAACATTCTGTACTTTAAATTATCTGACTGCAAGAATTGAAATCAAATTTTGTAAAAAGAAAAAAATTCAGTTTACCAGCCACAATGAATAAAACTTTTCAGTTTTAAAAAGTTGCATATAAAACCTTCTAAACCAAGTAATATTTTTAAAATATCAGCAATTAGTGGAAAGTTACTACTTAACAACTTTTTATATAAAAATTCACAATGTTTTAATGTAACCAATAAAATTTTCACGATTAAAACAAAGCAGAAAGAAGTTAACATATCTGTAGATAGAATAAAACCCTATTTTCCCAACACTTCTACAGTATCCGGAAAGATTTCAGAAGCACCTGTACAGGTTTAAAAGAATTTCTGACCTGTTTCATCATCTACAAGTTCAAAAACTGCAACAGTCCGCATTGCAGCTTGTTACATGTGAGGTTCTTCATTTTTCGAGTAGCTCACTATGGGGGAGTACTGTGCTTCACAAAGTCAGTAAAATCACATGCATCAAAATTTTGTTTTATATAAATGTAAACTGCGCTTTGGAGATTGAAGGAATAATGAATGTAAATATTTTAACTTAATAGAAATGTATTCAATAACTGGAACCAATTATGCTTATAACTGTATATTAACTTGTAAATAAAAGCAATAAATAAATGTTACAGTGTCATCAATTTCTTTTCTATTCATTCATGCAAATTTGCATAATGTAGGAAGACTAAATACCTTCCCTTACAAGTCATTATACCTTGCAAGCATTCCTGTGACAGAATTTTTTCGGGCTTTCAGCGACATCCCTCTCTAATACTAATACCCTTCTACAAGATACTTATAAAAATAACAAATATACATGTTACTAATTTAAAGTAACAGAAGCGTCAACGTCAAAAAAAAAAAAATTCGGATCAAATAAAAGAAATTTTTAAATTTAATATGCATTATTTTTTTTTACTCTAATATTAAGGGCGATAGACTTGCATTTTGTAGGGGGATAACACACTGCTTCCTATTTCACACTTTGTAATTCATCATCACATTAAAAAAAGATAATAAAAAAATCGCGAAATAAGTAGCAGTAGTAACTACCTAAGGTTTTACTATAGTTTTTTAATAATTTATATATATTCTTTAAAACTTGCAAGTTTGAAATCCTATAGGTGCTTTGGCGATTAGTCGTTCAGCAACAAATCGTTCTATGGAAATTTCCCCCAGTTCCGTTTTTATCCACCCAGTTAGTACAAAATTATATTATTACCACTTATAGATATTTCAAATGTGATGATGAGCAAGATTATTTTTTTAAAAATTATTACACAAATTTTCTATGACTTTAAAGTAATTCTTTAAAATATTATAATTTCTAGAAAGAAAAAACAACTTAAAGTAAGAAATTTAATAGTAGGAATTGTTTAAATATATATTTCTTTATATATATATATATGTCTTTTTATTGGATATAATACCTTAACTCTTAGTAAAATGTCCCGGCTTTTGTTGATAGCTTCTTCATATTTATTAACTTGTTGCACAAAATTACTGTTATCCTTTTTTCCAAGATCAATCAAATCGAGAGACTCAGTTTCATCCGCATCGCAAGAAATTTTCTTCTTGTGAATAATATATGCAGTTATACCCACGACAGCAGAAGCAGAAAATAGCGTAGACTTAAAAGATTGATTAAACTTAGAAAAAAACCTCGAAGAAGTAGAATTATGAAAAGATTTTCTAAAATGTTTATAGGAAACTATATTACTTCCCAAGTTCAATGATCGCATAAAAAGCATGATCTAATTTAATTTATTGAAATAACTGCAGTAATGTTAATAGAAAAGATGTTGGTTTGCTTAATATTTACAAAAATATGAGTTTCGCTAACTTAGTAAGAAACAAAATAAGAATATAGCGAAAAAGCATGAAGTAAACAAAAACAAGATAGCAGAAGCAGTTTCATATGCACGCTTCCCGCTGACGATTTTTGTCTAAGTACAGACCGAAGAAAAAAAGTTTTTTTTTTTTTCTAGAGACTTGTGTATGTTCTTTTCACATTCGAGCTAAAATGTGATTAAAATGTGATCGTTCCCAATTTACAGTTCATTCAACGGTGCATAGTGACCATTTTTCTTTTAATACCATATGAATGCTCCCTAAACCTTTAAATCTGTAATTGTTTGGCGAGATTGCTACGGGGACAGTGCTCTCACTTCCCAATGAGGTGGCTTATTCGAATCCCGGGAATAACTGCTGGTTGATTTGAATACTACTTTTGAGTCATCCCAACCACTGTGCTTGTGCTGACAAAAAGAACTCCCCCCCCCCAAAAAAAAATAGACAGATCATTGTCCAGAACTAATTATTTCACTGTAATAATTCTAAGATTCTGTACCAATGATATAAATGAAAAAGAGTTAGCACTAGAATTAGGACATTTATTGCTTTATTTGCCCACGGAGAATAAGTTAGGGCGATTGGGGCATCCCTGGCCGAGCTGTGTCGCCCGCCAAACGCACTGTTAAGTGTGGAGGTAGCGGGTTCGAATCCCACCGTAACCCTGGATGTATTCTTCGTGATGTTCTTCTCTGTGCTGTGCTATCTGTCCTTCTACTTGACAAAGGTCTATAAGCCTTAATTGAGCACACAAGCCTGTAAATGTATGTTGCACCAATAAAGCAATAAGGCCAATTAGGCATAGATGATATTTATAAAATAGTAAAAAACAACAAACTCGAAGATGTAGGTAGGTAGACAGGTACTTTATTCACGTCGATCGCAACGCCCGAATACGCCATCTAGGGAGAAGACCGGTTCCATGCCTTTGGCCCCTACCCCATCCATCTCCTCCTCTTTTTTTTGTCGTATGGGAATGTACTACGATATTTTTCCTTTCATTAACATTTTTCGTATTTAATTGTTAAAAATATTTCCTTTTAAGTTTCCATGACACTTTCTTTTAGAACTATGTTTAATGTAGTTTTCAGTTCCATATATGTAGTTTCCTAACTTAAAGGATTTTGATCTGTTTGAAAATCAAGACAGAAACTAACGTACTTCCTTCCTCTATGACCTCCCACACGCTAATGGTGAGAGCATGTGAAGCATTGTTATGGTAGAGAGTTCTACCATATGCCACCTGTATCCCATTTCGATCGCCAATTGGTGACTGTCTGGGAAACATTCCTGAGGACGATCTAAAGACATGCCATCAAATTTTCAATCCACTGCAGAGGAGATAGCTCTTCTACTTTGGTAGCCCGAAGACTTGCAAGCGAAGTCGAACACTTTACGGTAGAACAGTTTAGCGAGAACCACGCACCCGTGATCCCCTTGTAGGCTGATCAAAATGGTCACCCACCCGATTACTGATTGCAGCCAGTGATGCTTGACTTCGGTTCTACTAGGGCCGGATTTAAGCTTGGTGGGGCCCTAAGCTACTGAAAATGATGGGGCCCTTATAAGTTTAATTCCATTTCTATACACCTAAAGTAAACTGTCACTATTTTTTATTGTTGAGTATTAACATTATATTATTAAAAAATTGATAATATTACTTTATTGTTAAACATATTAATTGTGATGAGACTATTATGTAGAACCTTTCTTTTATTGCACATATTTTTTGAACGAGGGGAAAAAGTTACAAAAGAAACACATTTTAAGCACAGAGTAAACATTTGGAGTGCTGGGCCACTATATATTTAACAGAGTTTTTTTTTTTTTAATTCATTTTGAATATATTTTATTTGCAATTTTTAATGATTTTTTCGCGAATTTTTCTCACAATTGTATTTTTTTTACGTTACAAAATCTATAAGACTTAGAAACATGAAATTTTGAATTTGCGTAGAAAATATGCAGAGAGTTAGAAAGAAAATAAGACAATACAATTTGATTATTAGTTTTATTTTTTTATAACCGCCGTTGAACAACCGACTCAATTTTGAGTTAACGCTCTATCAACCAAGCTATCCCGGCCAAATTTATTAGTTTATTTTATAACAGTCATTGCACAGCCGACCCAATTTCGAGTTTACGACTACTAATATTCAACTCCGTAGCCTTGTCATTCTGAACCCAATCCAGAAGAAAAGGGAACTGCTAGATTAGAACCCAGAGGTATTTATTTGTTATGAGAACTTGGAGGACATTGTGACCCCAACAGATTTAACATGCGTCAGTCACCATTTTATACATGGGTATTCTTCTGCCGGCTGGATTCGAACTCCAATTCTCACGAACACGAGTCAAGAGCCCCATCAACCAGGCTATCCCGCCCACATTTTTAATTTATTTTATAACAGTCATTGCACAGCCAACCCAGTTTCGAGTTTACGACTACTAATATTCAAATCAGTAGCCTTGTCAATTCCCAATCCAGCAGTCCCTACACCCTGGAGCAGGTGAGGGCCGTTATATTAATACTGTTTGTAAAAATAAAAAGAACATTTCGTAAGCTGATATTATTTAATTGATGTTTACATTAAAAATATTTCTTCATTACTTTTGCTTTCTTTTTAATTGTTTCAAGTACATTTGTTAAATTTTAGTGCAAGAATAAAAATTGTCATTATTTATGTAAATTTTTGGCTTATATTTTTAAGGATTTATTAAAGGGTCTATTAAATATCAGAGAGAATAAATGTNTGTCATTATTTATGTAAATTTTTGGCTTATATTTTTAAGGATTTATTAAGGGGTCTATTAAATATCAGAGAGAATAAATGTCATACGTGTTTAAAGTATCAACTCTGCTCTTGATGGTGTATACTGGCTAGGATGTGAAAGAGCAACTGTCCCGGGCATCCCGCCAAAACGAGCATTCAACATATCAATGGAACACGCTCAAGCTTTATATCAATTAATTTTAGATAATTACAATTGTAGAATAATTTTTAACATTTAATCAACGAAAAAACAGAACCAATATTGAAATCTAACGAATTTATTATTTTTAATTACTGATAAAGTTTGTGACAGAAAAAAAAATTAAAGCCTGATAGATTTCAGAATTTTAGAAACACCTTCTAGTTATACTATTCAATCAAATAGGTTTCGATGTCTTTCATCCCGGTCTCATTAGGGATTCAGCATATTTCGATATCATTTTTGTTTCGTTCTTTCTTAATATTAATTTGTTTGTGACAGTTAATTTGTATACCTCTTTTACTACATTTTCGAGGAGTTTAAAAACATAATATTGAAGATTTTAACTGAAATGAAATTTGCTTTTTTTGTATGCCTCTTTCATTACGTCATCATCACACCCACACGCAACTGTCTACTCTAAATAGCGTTATATAGAATGAGATAGCAAAACAAACGTGTGTAGTTATTTAAATTCTTATTCAAAAGTATTAATTAATTTTTTTTTTTGAACTGACAATTTCTGTCCTTTTTTAGATATTTTAAAGTGCTGTTAAAAACTGCTGCATATCACATGAAAGCATTAAATATATCATTTGTACAATTTTAAAGTACAATAAGAGGGAATTCTGATCCTTAGAAACAGATATTAAATAGTCTGATGATCGAATGATGGGGCAAAAAAAACTTTTTTACCTTTTAAACTGAAAAATTGTTTATTTATAAATAATTTACTAATACTCAAATTGCTTGAAAGATGATATGTTCCCTACTAGTGATAACGAAGTTTTTTGTTTTATTCAGTCATTCATTTACATTTATTATGTCCGACAATGTAAAAAAGAAAAAAATATGCATTTTCGGCTTCTGAGGCCCCCAGCTCCGAATAAAACTTTAGAAAAAGAGGGGGGAAAGTAGGATCTGGGGGCCCTTGTCATCTCGGGGCCCCAAGCTACAGCTTATTTAGCTTATACGTAAATCCGGCCTTGGTTCTACTGGAAACCGTGTCTTTATGATCAGTTCACTGCAGGACTGACAAATATATTACAACAGAATATTTTACAACCAACTTTTTCAAGAAATTTTTATGCTGGACACTAAGGACTAGCCACAATAATCCTTTTTAATTTAATGTCTCACTATCAAGGGGGGCAAGGAACACTTTTCTTACCCTTCCTCTCTTTTTCAATTTTCGAAACCACTATCTTTTTATCGATACTCTTACCTACCATCATTTGAACAGTTTTCGAGCCCACTCTCTTTTGAACAATACTCGAGCCTACCATTTTTTTATCGGCCTGCAATCATTTAATCAGTAATCGAATCCTCTCCTTTTTTTTTATCGGTACCCGAACCCACCAATCTTTTTACCGGTTCTTGAAATCGCTCTCAGTTGTTGAGCAATCAATTCATTTGATCATTAAGTGAATCCACTCTCTTTAATAGATACCAGAGAAGAAGTGGGATACTCTGAGAATCGGTGGAGAGGTAGCTGTTGGTATATATTTAAATAAAAATATACTAAAATAAATAAAGAATAAATAGAAAAAATTAAATTTTCGAATATCATCGTTGATGCAGTTCATTTACGCCGCACTAGAGCTGCACAATGGGCTATTGGCGACGGTCTGAGAAACATCCCTGAGGATGATTAGAAGACATGCCATCACAATTTTGATCCTCTGCAGAGGGGATGGCACCCCCGCTTTGGTAGCCCGGCGACCTGCACGCGAAGTCGAGCACTTTACGGTAGAACTATTTAACGAGGACCAAGACCGCACACCCTCGGTTCCTCTACAGACTGGTCTAAGTGGTCACCCACCCGAACACTGACAACAGCCAGTGATGCTCGACTTCGGTGATCTGCTGGGAACCGTGTCTTAACGATCACTCCACTGCGGAACTTCTGAATATCAATATTTTTGGAATCGTAGATTGTGAGTTATTTTGAGGCATTTAAAATATGTAAATTTTATTTATTTATTTATTTTTGCAAATGCTTCATTACAAATTATTCAATTATATATTTAAAAAAAATTAAGATTCAAAATAAAATTAATACATATATACTGTTATTATTTCTTTTTCAAATGAAAGCAACTAGGCCGGAGGTCGCCAGTTAACAGGGCCCACAGTGATGTGACCTGGTGAGCCGGTTCATCCCTAGAAAGGATATTTTAATATTTCATGCTTTTTAAACTTTTAATGCATGCTTTTATATGAGCTTTAAAAATCTTCAAATATTATCATTAAAGGGCGGGATAGCCTATTTGGCAGGGCACTGGGCCCATGTCCAAGAGGTCGTGAGTTCGATCCCTGCCGGCAGAAGATTCCCCGTGGTGTAGTAAAAGGTGCCTGATACACGTTGAATCTGTCGAGTCACAAAGTTCTCCATGTTCTCATAACAAATCATACCTCTGAGGGCACTGATCCAGGAGTTTCCTTGTCTTTTGGATTGGTTCAAAATTGCAAGGCTGTGGAGTTGAACATTAGTAGTCGTAAACCCAAAATTGGGCCAGCTATTCAATGACGGTTATAAAATATCATTAGCAATATTAAGAGCCATGGTGGCTTAACGTATAGAGCGTTTGCCTGCCAATGAGGTGAGTCTGGTTCGAATCCCAGTGATAGCTGGTCGAAACGAATTCCGCACCGACCTAGAATATCTTCATGCTGAATATCTTCATCTATCTATGCTGACGGAAAATATCTTCAGTGGTTGACGGATCATGTGTTAGAGTCCCCTTGCTGTCAGGTTAACCATGAGAGGTTTCTATGGTTTTCCTCTCCATATAACGCAAATGGGGTTCCTTCCATCAAAAATTCATCCACGAAAGCAAATTTTTCCTAATACTTAATCCAGGAGTTTCCTTGTCTTCTGGATTGGGCTCAAAATTACACGGCTATGAAATTGAAAATTAGTAGTCGCAAACCCAAAGAATTGGGACTGCTGTTTAACGACGATCTTGAAATAAAATAATAAATTTCAATGGTTCGTGTTTTAAATTCTCTAAAGAACTTCAGTACTTATATTTGAAGAATCTTCAACCACCTAATATGAAAACAAACCAAACCCGTTGCCTTTAGTTATGTTGATCTATGCAAATTAGTAATGTCTCTTGTTGTTGTAGTTCATTTATGTCACACTAGAGATGTACAATGGCCATTGGCGACTGTCTGGGAAACATCTCTGAGGATGATTCGAAGACATGCCATCATAATTTTAATCTTCTACAGAGGGGATGGCACCCTGTTTCGGTAGTCCGACTACCTGCGCGAAGTCAAGCACTTTACGGAGGAGCAGTTTAACGAGAACCAATACCGCACACCCTCGGTCCCTACGCTAACTGATCCAAGTGGTCATCCACCAGCACACTGACCTCAGCCAGTGATGCTTGACTTCGGGGATCTGCTGGGAACCGTGTCCTAACGATCAGTCAAGTGCGAGACTAGCGATATCACTTAAAAATAGTTCAAGATCTATGAGTTCATTGGTCAAGTTATGAAATTCATCATTTATTTGTATGCTATTCGCTTTTAATGTAAGGGTTGGCTTTCTTCAGTGAGTTTGGATTTTAGTATACTTATTTATTCATTCACGTGCATATACAGGCTTCTGTGCTCAATACATAGAAAAGCTTATAAAGCCTTGTGAAATTGGAAAACAGATAGCACAAATTAGAGAAGCATAGCATAAATATAGATCCGTGACTTAGGAAGATTTGAACCTGTTACCTATTAGATTCGCAGAATTAGGTAGAAGAATAAAACTCCGCGGCCACAGTGATCTCTTTTCGCCTATTTCCCTTCCTTTTCAATTTTTAGGTCAAGACGGTTGTCTATGATTGCTCTATATAGCTTTGAATTTCTAAGTAGATATGACCGAAGAAAAATGACATACCGGGAGTTTCTAGTATTGGGATACGATTAAAAATCAAAGCTTCCAGCTGAGGAATCTCGGCCATTTTCAACCACATAATATACTAGAGTCTATTAGAACAAGGTCTTGCCTTACACTTCGTTGCAAAATGGTCTTCGATTTACGTATCTTTGGATCTACAGCACTTCTCGTGGAATGGTTCTAAAAAAGCAGCAGTTGTACAGACAACACTTTAAAGTACACAGTTTTCCTTCACATCTATGTCTAAATTGAGGAAGTGGTCCGCATTGTCTTTTGTGCAGCTCTAGTGTGACGTAAATAAAGTACCTACTTAAAGTACGCAGAGATCCATTTTTGACAAAGGTGCACGAATCTTCTACTTTTTAAGGTCCTAGACAAGACTAACTTTTAATTTAGCAATGAAACACGCTTACTTTTCGCTTATGTTAGAGTGTTTAGTTGAACTGTTAGAGTGTTTTAGTTGAACTCGCATATCCTCCGCCCCAAAATAACATTATTAATTCTTTTACCTTATCACCAACTTTAAACACTTGTCAAATTAAAGAATCAATGACATAAATTACTGAAGGACATTGTAAAAAGAGAATAAAAAATACATTAAAGAATACTTCGTAAATTGAATTTGCTACATTCAAGTGTCTCGTGGAAGTTGTTGTTGTTATAGTTCATTTACGTCGCACTAGAGCTGCACAATGGGCTATTGGTGACGGTCTTTGAGACATCCCTGAGGATGATCCGAAGACATGCCATCGCAATTTTGATCCTCCGCAGAGGGGATGGCACCCTAGCTTCGGTAGCCTGACGACCTGCACGCGAATGTGTCCCGCGGAGAGACAATGTTTTCGCAAGCAATCAGTGCAGCATCTAAGATAAAGCATATATTTACTTTATTTATTAGAATTACATACATTTGCAGGCTTGTGCGCTCAGTTATAGCCTTATAAACCTTTGTTAAATAGAAGGTTAGATAGAACAATGCAGAGAAGGACAGCACAAAGATACATCGAGGGTAACAGCGATATTCGAATCCGCTGCCTCCACACTTTGCACAGCTTTTGGTGAGCGATACCGCCCGGCCAGGGAAGCCTCTCTAAAATAAAGCAAAAAGAAAAAAAAGAGAAAAAAGAAATGACAGCCGGAAGTGATTTTTTGTACGAATTCCTTTTTATAAAAGGTGCTTTTGAAGTTTTACTTTTCAAGATATATTTGGCACTTGCATAATGTCTGCATTTAAGTAAATTTGATACGCATTTTGGAAGGATGTCTAAAGCATTTTTGCTTTGTTTAGATATTTCTCTAACAAGAAATAGTCACAATTTCTAAGTTTAAAACAAGGATCATGGCACTTATACGGTATCGTAAATACTGTGAAAAGCACATTACTAGGTAATAATTCTTTCAAACATTTTTCAAATTATCTACAAATCGAAACTTCTGCCTTTCTCTTCAGGAAATAAAGTTTAGAAATTCCTTTTGGAACACATTGTTAGATAAAGTAATTGAAGATCAAAGGAAAAAAGATCAATTCCGTTCTTCATATAAATGAAGTTTGGATTACAGTCTGTTTCTTTTTAAGGATAGCTAAGTCTATACAAATCAATAACTTGGAAAATCTGTTCTCTGAGAGTTATTACACAGCTAAGGTGTGTGGTTACTCAATTAATAATTCTATTCCGTGCCCTTCCGTAGTTTTTTCTTAGAATTTGCTTTCATGTATATTAACAGTTTCCCTCTAGATTTTAAATTGTTCATTTTAAAACTACATAACGTTTTCAATAAAAAAACCCTTTGAAAAAGTTTAAATCCTAGATTTTTGTTTTTCCAATAGTTAAAAGTACGTTAAATTCAATTTAATTAAATTTTGAAATTTAGATTATTTAAGAAATGGGGTAGGAGTTCTTCACTTTTTATCAAATTTGCTTCTTACACTACTTTTCTCTAAAAATTAATAGCGTTACATTTTACTTGTTTAGAGTTTCACTAATTATTCATGTGACACTACTATGTTGGTTATAGCTTGATCTTTTAAATCTAGGATTTAATTATCATAGTTCTTGTCGGAGTCTGGAGTCTAAAATGGATTTTGGACTCTGCTGCCTGCCTACATCCGATGGTAAAATTGCTTTTGGTCTCGCCTGCCTGCCTACATCCGATGGTAAAATTGATTTTGGTCTCGCCTGCCTACATCCGATGGTAAAATTGATTTTGGTCTCGCCCGCCTGCCTACATCCGATGGTAAAATTGATTTTGGTCTCGCCAGATTACATCTAGAGATGGAAGACTTCAGAGGAAAGTTAAGGTAAAAATTTCATATTAAACTTAAATTTTCTAGACTTACTGGAATGTATAAAGTTTCTCTGAACTTATCTCGTTATACAAAAGATTCACCTTGTAAATTGAATTTTTTAATGTTTATAAATCGGATTTTTTTTAAAATTCCGATTAAGAGTATGAAGCATTTTATTTCGCATTGAAAGTAAGGAAAATACTTAAGAAATTTGACTGTTTTAGCTAAATTCTCACTTTAATCAGCTCAGAATGTGTGTACATACAAATAACGAGCGGTAAACAGTATCTCTATTCCATTTTGTTTTTTCGTCTGTTTAAATTTGTTTCCTTTTCTGCGCCTTTAGTATGTCTAGTATAGCTGCATCCTACTGCTAATTCAAATATTCAATGTTCTTAAGGCCCCTTTAAAAATTTAAGTATTTAATTTCCTAAAACTTGACATTTATCTTAAAGTTCATTTTATAAACATGTAGGATATGAACTTTTCTGGAAAGAGGCATTATTTGAGTAAATGAGTTTCACCATCTGTAGTTTTCATTATACTCAATTTTTAATAGTTTGGTATGTTTAGCTCACTGCAGTAACAATTTTTTTTGGTGCTATTGAACTGTTTAATTCCAATCAAAGTATTAGTATATTGTGGAGGAATGTAAGAATTTTGGCGTAAACTTTTAGTTTCTTTGCGGAAGTTTTCAATAGGAGCATATTTAATGAATTACCTATTTAAAAACCAGTTTTTGTATTTATAGTACTTATCCAGGAACTGATAAATTTAAGACTAAAGGACACCATTTCTCCACTTTAAGCTCTTAATTTTTTGCTGACCTACACTGTAAAAAAAATTGGTATATGTGAACACCAAAAATGGTGGAATGCGAAAAAGCAAGGATAGGTCCTGGAGGACGATCAGAGATTAAATATTAAATTTCTGACTGAAATTTTGCTCTTTACTTTATTTCCAAAAAATTAAATTTGTTTTCAGTAAAATCACTACTTTTAAAATTTGTTTTCAAATGAAAAATTTTTACAGAATCACTCCTGCAACGATAGTTTGGGTAGCAAATTTTCGAGACAGCTTATTCCCCAGTTGTAACCTTTATCTTAAGTTGAACCTTCGAGACGTCTGGTTGTGACTTATCTTACCAGTTTTAAGACTGCTACAATAATTGCGAAGTTATTCCACTAAAACAACGTTAAATAAATTTCTTTAGAATTTAAACATTGCGTAAAATATTAGTGCAAGATATTGAAAAATGAGCAATTAGTTATAATATTGTCATAATTATTCAATGGTTGACTTAGTAGCTATTTTTCATGTAATAAACTATACAAAATTCTAACGTCAGATACACTCCTGCTCAATTCCTAAATGATACTGGCTTTTCTGTGGTGTTTAAAATATGTAAGTTTCAAATTTGAAGGCTAATGTAAACTAGGTTCCGACATTTAAATGAGTGACAAATTATGTAAATTCATATTTAGTGAAGAAAATCATTAACTGAAGTTCAAATGTAGTTTTAATATACTTTTCGAATTTTTTTCTCCAAATCTTTAAAAACACACTATAAATTTCTTTAAAACATATAAATGATTCTGCTACTTTCAACGCAGTTATAAATATGTCTAGTTTACAGCATTAGAACTAATTGAATATGGGAAAGGGATTAAGTGAAAGATTTCTGAAGTTTAATAAATTGGTAATATTAATGAGTATCTTAATGCGCTTTAACAGTTTTGAATCTAGGAATTAGTACCGAAGCTGAGAATACTCATTCTCAAGGCGACGCGATTCAAATTTAATCAAAGGTTTTCTCAAAGTCAAAATTAAATTTTTACATATCTAGAATTGTTTGAAATCAAAGTCAATGGGAGCTAACAGCTGTATTTATGTAACTTAAAGAATAAATTGAAAATTTTAATTCCAGTTGACCATATGACCCATCTTAATTGTAACAATAGGTTCTTCTGACAAAGTTCAATTTACGAACGAGCAGAGTTTACCTCATTTTTAAGGTGCTTCGGTCTTAAACCTATGTTTTAATAGCACCCTGTCTATAGTATGCTCATTACTATATGATCTCCCAACAATCTGTCCTAGAAGAGTCTGTCTAAATATTAAACCTAATTTTGTTTTCAGTGAAATGAATGGATAAGTTATACAATTTCCTGTTTCATTTTGTCAACATCGAGTTAAGTTTTTAAATTCTGCAAAACTCTAACGTTGTGCTACAAATTCGAACACCCGTGAGATCATGCTGGTAATTCCCTTAAAACCGTAGTTTAAGATCACAATAACCAAATTTTGGAAATTTACAAAAAGGAAAATAATAGGAAATAAGATTTATTAAATGTAGGTTTCTTTCTAGAGAAGCAAAGTTCTTAATCTACAAAACTCTTGTTAGGTCAATCTAAACATACGTTTACAATTCTGATGGTCTGATAAATTCTTCTCCTTTATCAAATGCATACCTTAAACTCAGAAAAATAATAGTGAGTTCTCAAAAAGTTAATTAGCGCAAATAATTACTTTGATCCTATATGATTTTGATTTAAAACTATTAAACTTTATTAAACTAAACCCTTCTCTAAATGTTACGGAAACAAATTGTCCCATTCTTAAAAATATTGTTTTTTTTCTAATTACAGCAGTTTTTATTACTGATAATAACATTTTATGGAATATTTTGATTTTGTATTAAAAATATTTGTTCGTTATTTTAATTGTTTAAAGTATAAGCTGAGGTTAATTTTTTTGAATCTGAATAAAAATTACCTTTGTTTATATAAATTGGTGTATAAATGATTTTATATGGTTTATTTCAAATAAACGAGAATAAATGTGTAACAGATTTAGTGTTTCAACTCTGCTCTACATAGTATCGTTATCCTGTGAGATAATAAAATGGTAAATTTAAAAGATTAATTACTCAACTGAGTCTTGTTATTTCCCTATTTTTTGAATTAAGTTTTTCTTTCTTTTCTTAAGTATATAAAACTGTAATTGGTAGCATTTTTTGTCAATGAAAGCAAAGGACTCTTTAAATTAGTTTAATTTCAAAAAATTAAAGAATGCTGACCTTCAGGAATCTATGTAAGAAAGTTTCTCGTAAAAGTCGAAAAAATTATCGAAACAAGGAAATAAAATATTTTTCGTACTACTTTATTTATTGACTGAAAAAAAGTGATTTAAACTAAATTAGTGCGAATGATATCTTTTAAATTCTCAACGAAACAATTCATAGCTTTTTATTAAATTAAATCTGATTTTTTTTATAAAGATAAAAGTTGCATTTTATTTTTGAATAAAAACAAAGTTGTTAAAAAGCATAAAAAATCAAACTTTCAACAATCCAAATTCCAATTTTAAAAATTTAAAGGTCTTAATAATTTAAAAATATAAGAACAAAATCCATGCACACAATAAACTGTAAAATCATGAACTAAAGTGAAGGAAATTTGATATACGAGCATAAAAAAGGCATTTTATGTGACCATTCATATTAAACAACTCTAACAGTACATAAATACACACTTTTAAATGTTTTAAATGAGTTAATGCAAACATTTTCGTACCTCCTTTGAAATAAAATTATTTTTGGTTCTTGTTCAAAGAAAATTTTTATTCAGAATGAGAAGTATTGATATAAAGATTCATGTTGAAAAAAGTTGCAAATAATTTTAATTAGTCTCAATTAAAGTTAAATTTTAATTTCAAGAATTGAAAAAAATAAAAGTTAGCAGAAAATTTATATCTGAAATTAAAAATTAATTTAAATGAGCCAAAAACTGGAATTTGACAATGAGACCGTTTGTCTTAAATATTGTCTTGACAAAATGACTAAATTAAATGTCAACAAGACTCATCCCCTTGGATCCCCTAAAAGCTTACATCTGTTTTCCAAGAACATCTAGCTTAGTTAGAAATCTTATCGGACATATAGATTCTGTCAATATATAGCATTTTATAAAAGTGCAAAAGAGCCCAGGGTCATAAAAATGATTAAGGCAATTTAAAGAAGCAAAAGGACATTTTCTCATTGCAAAATGAGATTGCTATTTTTTGGGGAGTGAGATAATTGTGGGTCATCTCTGTGGGTGGTACGAATGTGCATTTTATTACTCATTCCAGGGTAGGGTAAGGGTGGCAATCTTTTTGGTTTTCTAAACACTTGCCTTATTTTTTATGCTGTGCTCTTCTGTTTTCGTATTTTAGTTTCAATTTTTTTAAAAATCAAAAGTTGTCATATGTAGCAAAAATTGAAACAAAACAGAAGTATTTATCTCTTGGGGGGGGAGTTTTCCATTTCAGTTTGGAAAATAACTACTAAATTGAAGAAAGATAATATTTTTCTGAAATTACCAATTCTATTTTACTTTATTGTAGCGAATGTCAAAGTCTTAGCACATCCTCCCCCTCAATTAAATTTCAGAGGAAAATAGTTTTCTATTTGGAAAATAGCAAATAAGAGTCAAATATTTTGAATCAAAATTAATTGAAATTTAAATATTAATCTGTATTTATTGAAAATAAGAGTTAAATATTAATCGAATGTCTGAATTTCATAAGGGGTGAAATATATCCTTCATCCCCTCACTTTAAGAAAAAGTGACTTTTTCTATTTGGAAAATAGCGTCCAAGTTTTGAAACAAACTTTTTTTCTGAAATTTCTAACTTTACTTAATTTTATTCTGTTAATGTCTATATTTCAGAAGATGTGAAACATATTTTTCGCCCCCTCACTTTTATATCAGAGGAAAACAAAGTTTTCTGTTTGGAAAATAGATTCAAAGATGAGTTTTTAATTATCAATTTTTCTTTATTTTATTTTTGCGCATGTCAATTTCAGTAGGGGCGAAACACTTTATATTCTTCCTAAATAGTAATGATGGGACGAACAAAGTTTTCCACCCGGAAAATATAGTGAAAAATTGGAAATTTTTTTTTTTCTTTTGCTTTTACAAATGTGAAGCTCATTATTAACCAATTTAATTTAGTTTAATTTCCACTTG